ATATGAGAAAGCACAGAAATGAGAATTTTTTTCTACGTTAGGATATCGAGGAAGACTGCATGGAAGAAATGGCATTTAAATAGCATCTGGAAGTTTGAATAGAATGTTGATGTTGGGGAAGGGCATTTTGGGTGTTAGAAAGACTGGAGAAGAGGCTTGGAAAACTGCCATTAGATTGCTGCTGTAACTTCTCAACCTTTAATGTGCATAGGAATCCTTGAGGGTCTTGTTAAAATGCATATTCTGATCGAGTAGGTCTGGGGTGAGACTTGAGAGTCTGTGTTTCTAACAAGCTTCCAGGGGATGCTGGAACTGCTAATCCAAGGGCCCCATTTTGAGTAGTAAGGTTCTAGTCTAGAGAAAAGGTTGATTGAGGAAGAATGAGATGATTGGGTGGGCTCAGGGCCGGTTCTGGGCCGGTCCTAGAAGGCCTTGCTAAGGAGCTTGGAAATTTGTTCTATAAGCAAAATGAAATCATTGAAAGTTTCTGAAAAAGAGTTTTAGTGCTACAGAATGATTAATCTGGAAATAAAATGTAGTATAAAATAGAGGTCGAATACACTGTGGGCCAGTTAGGAAGCTAATGCAGTGGTATATTCACGTACTAAGTATCTACTGTGTATGTACTTTATACAGAGCACTGTGTCAAAATGTAGAGTGGGTTCTTTTTTCTCCCCCCATCCCACCCCCCTGGAGTGGCAGTTCTTAAACTTCATTGTGTATAAGATTTACCTACAAAGCATAATTTTAATGCATATTTCCAGTCTCCACACCCAAATTAGTAGGTCTATGATAAGACCCCCAACATTTCTATCTTAAAACCACAAGGCCTCTCGTCTCTACATATACAGGTCAAGTAGTGTCACGGGGGATACTGAGTTAAAAAAAAAACAAACCTGTGTAGCTTCTGACCTCAGATAGCTTACATGACCCTATGGGAGATGAGGTGAATTTATAAGTAACTCAGAGAAAGAAGGAACAGATTATTTTGCACCTGGAGGGATGGCTGGGGGTTGGGGGGAGGAAATGACATACTGGCTTTGGCTTTAAAGAATCTGTAGGTTTTGGACCCAACTGGGGCAACATTGGGGAGAGACCTTGTAGGCAGTGGAAATAATAAAAGCAAGAATACTTAGAAGTTGTTTAGTTTGGTTAAAGTTGTATGAGTATTCAAAGTCAACATTACAAAGACAGGTTGGGGCCAGATACTGAAAGGCCTTTTAAATTCCTTCTTCCTGAGTTTGGACTTTATTTTGTTGACAATGGAGAGTATTGAAGAATTTTGACAGGATCATGATATGACCAGAGCTATAGTTGAGGAAGAACAGTGTGGTGGTAGTGTATAGGATGAACTGGTAAGGAGAGAGAAAGGAGGCAGGGAGAACAATGTGGAGGGTAATCAGGGCCTGAGAGTCAGGGTACTGGGAATGCAAAGTAGTGAGGAAGAGAAACAGATTGGAGAGAGGATACAAAAATAGAACCAATGGGTTATTAAATATGGGGCAAAAACAAGAGGAAGGAAAGATGCTTGTAAGGAGTCTAGCCTGAGTAACTGGGAAGATACCTAGGAGCCCTTTGGGAATAGAGGACTGAGGAAGGGAAGAGAGATTACACCTGGAGATAGATATATATATAGATATATATATATATATATATAATACATACACACACTTGGGAATTAATCATATAAAATGCTAGTTGAGGCTGAAGAGTAGATGAAATTGCCACAGGGGATGGGATGTCAAGGGAAGGAAAAAGAGCATTATAGGTAGTATTTAGGAGGTCGATGGAGGAAAAAGAGCTAGAAAGAAGCAATGAGAGAGGTAAGGAAAGACGTTACAGTTTCACTGAACAAATAGTATAGAAGAAGAAGGAATGGTGGTCAGTAGTGTCAAGGGCTACAGAGAAGTTGGGGAGAATAGCACACAAAAGGCCACTGGATTTAGGAATCAGGAGATGATTGATGATCTTTAGGGGAGAAGATTCAGTGAATTATGGAAGTGGAAGCCCAATTAGAGGGAATTTTACATCAGTTTTGAGGATATAGAGGCAGAAACCATAGCTTACTTTTGTAGTAAATCTGTCTAGAAAGGAGTGTTGAGACAGGATGAGTTTAGGTATGATGGGATGAGAGGCTAAACCAAATTGCAATAGGAAATAGAAAAGAGAAATTGGCATCCAGAGATCCTGAGGACATAGAATCTGTAGGTGTTGAAGACTGATTTGATGTGGAGATTGAATAAGAAAAGGATTCCATTTTTAAGACTTGGAACTGGAAGAAGGAAGATGCCATTTGGAAATATAATGAAGTCATAAATTGGAAACAAGCTTGGGTTGAAAGATGACAAGTTTGATTTTAGACATACTTTTAATATTTTTAAGGGATACTAAGTAGTAGAATGCTCCCCTTTCTTCTCCGATAAATCTTCCTCCCAAGAGAAGGAGACAAGTGTCTTTGCTGGTCTTTTTGGTGGACTGTATTTGGAGGCTGGGTGCTAAACTCTCAGAAATCCCATTCATATCTCAGGTACTAATGTATTCTAATATTCAGTTCTATGTATCTTGACATGGTAAAGCATGATGAATTGTTGATCCCCAGTAACCATTCAGAGAGGCCATTCAGTTCTTTCATCTAAAAGTAGTAAGATTCCAAAGACAAACCAACAACTGTCCAAAGAACTCTTGGTCCATTAAGTCTAAGGGACTTTTCCTAATATCCTATCCATGTGCCTCTTATGCTTTCCCTTAGGGCTCTGTGTCTCAAATACCATTTTTCTTGTTCTACAGCTAAATCCTAGGGGAAAAAAGCCAAGCTTTTCATCTTGAGCCAGGTTGATGTAGTATTTGAGTTCAAGGTCAAGCTCATTAAAGCCCAAATCCTGAGGGAAGGAGCAACTCTCTTTTGTCCTGTGTTTTCAGAAAGACCTAACATATCCATCTTCCTAGTTTTTAATTGTCACTGTCCATGGAATGGCCCAAGTCTGTTCATATAATATTTGATAACCAAAATGAAAAGGATCTTTTTTTCTGCTGGACCCTATCTGCTGTTTTTGGTTCTCAGTAGCTGAAGTTTTCCGTTGAGGTTCTTTTAAACGCCTACATGCAAACTGAAGAGCACTCAAGCTTTGGTGGGATATCACCCACAGCTGGAGTGATGGAGGAAGGGAGGAGGGTACAAGCCTCAGGTGCATCCTTCTCTTAAAAAAATTTTTTTTTAAAAACAAAACCTCTTAAGCAAACAAATTCTATCTGAAAGCAGGTGAGACCTATCCAGGGAAAGAAGGGAATGAACCTCTTTCCATGTAGGAAATGAATATGGATTCATATGTGACCCAGATGCATTAAATGGGCAAATTTGAAACATGTTGGACTGATCCTACAGCCCTACATCTCTTCTAGTCAAAGAGTAAAAGGCTATGAACCATGAACCGTGATGAGAAGCAGAGGAACAGTGTTGCAGCAATGGCTCCTCGGTTGGTGGTTAGGCCCTGTCTTGCTCTATTAAGCAAACACAGTTAATATAGATAAAAGGTAACCTTGATAGAAGTGAAAATTGAAACTTGAGTTGAAGGTAGCAAGCCAGGCACAGCTGCAGTTGTACTTCCTCCTATGTGGCAACAGGAGCTGCACTTACTGGTGTTTTTTTGGAAGGGATGCAGTTTTTTAAAATATCTTTTCTTCAGAGTGTTCTGGGTTTTAATGTCTACACCATTGATGGGAGAGCAGAATATATTAGTAAGAAGCCACCTAGACTTTCTACATCTAGTGTGTGAGGTCAGATCCAAGTTCAGCATTCTAATCACACATTTGCTATTAACAGGCTATGTAGCCTTGGACAGATCACTGAAAAGATCTCTGGTGGCAGATTTTCTTACCTGAAAAACCAAAAGGTTGGATTAGAGGATCTCTTCCAGCCCTAAAATTCCATTGATTTATGATTCCTCACGAGGAAGCATAACTTCCAATTTCTAAGAACAACTGTTGGCATAGTAAGCATTTATGCAGCTTTAATTTTATATATGAAAAATCCCTTGCAAATATTTATTATGATTTTATCAGGCAAATATTTAAGTGTTATTAGTGTCACTACATAAATTTACCTTCTTCACTTCTTATGTTCTTCAGCTTAAGTGTTGCAACTCTTTTCAAAATAGTACCTGGTCAGCCAACTCACTTGGGCCAGTCCTTCCTCTCCTGTCCAGTCCTACAGTTCTAGGATCTTGAGTTTCACCCTCCCTAACATGGGTATAGGTGTGCTTCCCCTTGCTTAGGCTGAGCTCCATTTACCTGTGTCAATGAAAGTGACTCCTTAGAAGATTATGTTAAAGAATTACTTCTCCTTTTATCTTTCTCAACAGTATTTCACTAATACAGCCAGCTTCCTCTATATACAATGTTGTCTCGTTATCAGTTCCAAGAGAAACAGAGAGATAAGAGTCATTTTAGCAGTGCATATACATGGAAGGGGAAGAGGCAAAGCATGGCTTAAAATCAGAAAAACCATATTAACTATTCAACTCTCACTCTTAGTGGCTTAAATTGAATGCATTTGAAGGATTAAAACAATATTTTCTTCTTGAAACCGAAGAGCTCCACCACCTTGCCTTTTAACTGCAGCCACCAGAGAAGGTACTAAATCTGAGAACCTTTCTTCTCCCCCAGTACTGGAGAAGAGTTGCTCAAAATGTTTTTTTTTCATGGTCTCTTTGAGCCATCACGGCTAAATCCGTTCTCTCTCATTTTCTGGCTGGTCTAAAACTCTGTTATCTGTGTTTGTGTGTGTGTGTGTGTGTGTGTGTGTGTGTGTGTGTTTTCTCTACTGACGGTGGTTCTGAATTCAAATAATGAGTGCTCATCCTAATAGTGTTTTCTTGTTTTGTAGATGTACAATATTATGTTAGCTTCCTTTGGTATTTGTTAGTTGTGGATCTCTCTCTTTGAGCTGCTTTGATAACTCCAAATACAATCATTGTTCATTTCTTGCATTTTCTACCCTGCAGATGATTCGATGAAAGTGAAAGATGAATACAGTGAAAGGGATGAGAATATTTTAAAGCCAGAGCCCATGGGGAATGCAGAAGAGCCTGAAATTCCATACAGCTATTCAAGAGAATATAATGAATATGAAAACATTAAGTTGGAAAGACATGTCTCGTATGATAGTAACAGGCCAACCAGTGGCAAGATGAACTGCGATGTGTGTGGATTATCCTGCATTAGCTTCAATGTCTTAATGGTTCATAAGCGGAGCCATACTGGTAAATAGTTTCCTTTATCCATTCTTCTGAAAACTGTCCTAATGCAGCCATGTGAGAAATGAAATGGTGAAATTTGGGACGACTTTTGATTACTTTCATTGATTTTTGCTGTAATTCTGATGTATCTCTCCCTCTCTGCATTTTCATTTACCCAGTGATTTTTATTCCTGCTTTACTATGCTTTTGGCAAACATTGCAAATGCCATGAATAAAAATACTGTAGTAAGCACAGTGTTCTAGGTCAGCCAAATATTTTTCTTCAGTTAATAAGTAGAAGTTGAATTGTGCGATATGCTTCTTTAGCATCATCCATCCATTTTTGCATAACTTTTTAAAAAGCAGACCTCCTTATTATATTGGGTTCAAATTTGTTAGATGAAAGCACATAGTTTTTATAACCAGTTTAAAAATTTTATCTTCGGACAATAAACAGCCAATCTATAGAAATGCATACAAACACAACAGTCCCAATGAGCTCAATAGATTCCATCTGACATCTAATATGAAAACTTTAAAAAAGAAGCATTTCTGGCCCTTCATACCTTATTAGAATTTGAGTCTGTGATTCTGTTTTCTCAGATTGAGATTATATTCAAAAAGAATGCTAAGTAATGTTACAAACTTACATCTGGAAAGCACTCCCAGAGCTATTCTTGTTTTTTTTGGGGGGGGGATGTTATTTCTTTTTTTTTTTTTTGCTCTGATCCAAGACCATAACTAAAATGGCCTTGCTAGATGAATGCTTTTTCTCTTCTACTGAGAAGATTTCCAGAAGTAAGTCTTACACTTGCCTTGAAATATAGCTCCCAGCTGATCCCAATATGATATGAACAGATACTATCTAAAAGATGAGCTTTTGCCATAGGCGTCTAATCTGTGCATATGCTTTGCCACTTGCTGGGTGATCAGAAGTCTCCTTTTTGTCCTTTTTAAAGGTGAACGCCCATTCCAGTGTAATCAGTGTGGGGCATCTTTTACTCAGAAAGGTAACCTCCTCCGCCACATTAAACTGCACACAGGGGAAAAACCTTTTAAGTGTCACCTCTGCAACTATGCATGCCAGAGAAGAGACGCACTCACGGGTCACCTTAGGACACATTCTGGTAAGTGAGAGCAATGAGCCTTCCATATCTAGTAAATGTGTGTTCCATGGTGCCCATTGAGGAAACTAGAAAGAGTTAAGTACGGAGGTTTTAATCCGTCATTCCTGTTCTGAAGGGTTACAACAGCAGAGACCTCTAGGGCTAATTACACTTCCATTAAGGCATTAATTGCTCTCCGTCTGGCTCAATGGGGATGATCATCTCCTTACCATCCTTGCTCCCCTAGAGAACAAGACAGTCAGACAGGAAAAGCCTGCTCTATAAAAATGCCTTTTGAATTTTTGTGAAAAAATTATAGTCATCAGTATTTTCTTATGGTAAGCTTTATTAAGAGATTATTTTCCTAAAAAACACACGGACACATTTTTCATTCAGAAGTCTGGACAAGCAAATGATGTACAGTCTGTAAGTTATGTAAAAATGTAAACGGAGCATAAATCATTGTCAGAGGGTTCCCTTTGGCCATTCTGGGCTAAAAATTTTTAAATTGAGATGTAATTGACAATAGAACATTGTATTGGTTTTAGGTGCACATGGGCTAAATTTCTTAAACCTGACTTTCTTCTTGATCAGCCTGTTTATTTTTAATCTCTAGAAGATGAACAGCAAAAGAATTCATAAAAGAAGAACTATGTTCGTCTTGATGTTTTTACTCTTTATTTTAACTAAGCAAGATAATAAAACTTTTTTCAACATTTAGAATTTCCCTCCTAGAAAAATAAAACTGAGTTTATTTTCAAATTTGGGACCTCATGTTCTTGATGTTATCTGACAAACTTTTTAATTGAAGAAAAAAAAAGGTTTGTTTTTATGTCAGTCCACGTACTGCTTTGACTAAAACCCAGCCCCAAACCCACAACTGGTCACAATTCAGAGACTAAGGATTAAACAAGTCAGTCCCAGCAAAACCCACCATGAGAGATCGTAAGTGGTACAAGAAGGGTTTCTTTTACAGTTCATTGTTCAAAGTAATGAATTAAGGATGAGTTTGGTCCAAAAAATTAGAATAGTTCTCTTCTGTTGCTTTTTTCAAGTAAGATCCAAACATAGTGGTCACTTTTTAGATAGATTCTAGAGGACCCAAATTTATGCAGAAAACTTAACATTTTTAGCCCTAGCAAACCAGCATTTATTTTAATTTGGGATTCCAGAGGATCTTGTAGTACTTTAAGTCCCAAAACTCTGTTTTAAACAGAGCAACAGGATTAGAAAATAAAAATCTCAGTTCCTAAAACTGTGACATACTCATAGGGTACATTTTATCAACAATCAGAAAGGCCAGCCCTGCACACAGAGTTGAAGTTATTACTTATAATTAGCTCAGTTTTTATTGATTTAGCCCAGACTTCACTATAGCCACTTGGACAGGATAAGCTAAATTTATCCAACTATGTCATTGCTCTGAAAAGTCCATCAGTTTCTGGCTGAATGTCTAACTCCCAGCATTCTTTACTTACAACGAGATGGATGTCACAAACTAAGGGATCTCTCTCTATTTCATTTTTAAGCCACACTAACCTCCTTGAGGAAAAAAACAGCTTTTTTCCTAAAGAAACAATATTGAATCTGGAGCCAAAACACTGTGCTCAATGATAATCATTAAATCCAAATCCTTTCATATGTGAAAGGAGGCTATCCTTTTGAAGAAAATGCTAACATAACAATCAGTCGAAGACTATCACCTTATTTCAGTTTACTAAATTTAAAAATAATATAGCTGCAAAAGTATCCAAATACCCTGGCTTCTCTCAGCAGACTCATTCCTAAAGGACAGTTTGCACAGAGCCCCAAGACACCATTTGTTCTGTAATCCCTGAGGGTCACCTTTGTGCTCTCTTTATAGTTGAGAAACCCTATAAATGTGAGTTTTGTGGAAGGAGTTACAAGCAGAGAAGTTCCCTTGAGGAGCACAAGGAGCGCTGCCGTACATTTCTCCAGAGCACGGACCTGGGTGAGACTGGTGAGTTCATGCAACACTCGTTCTACGTACACGTAGCAAGCACCTACTTTTCTAGGTGGTGGAAGACAGTAGTGTTAAAAAAAAAACAAAAAAACAAAAAAACAAAACTGCCCTCGTAGTTTATATTTTAATGGGGAAAGACAGACTATAAGCAAAGTAAATATGTAACATATACAGTATATTAGAAGGTAGTAAGTACTATTAAGCAAAATGAAGCAGGTCCTGGGGGCAGAAAGTGAGTCAGGGAGGTGACATTTTAACAGACTTAAAGGGCTGAGGAGAAAGCCCTGCAGAGAACTAGGAAATAGCAAGTGCAAAGGTCCTGGGACTTGAGTTTGAAGAAGTATAAATAGTCCTGTGTGGCTGGAGCAAGAGTGGGTAAGGGAACATGAGGCTGGAAAGGAAATGGGAAACGAGATCTTATCAAGCCTTGTTGGCCATTATAAAGGCTGGTTTTTACTCTGAGTGAAATTGAAGATCTTCAAAGGGTTTTGAGCTGAGAGGTGACATGATTGGACTTCTCATTTTAAAAGAATCACTTTACTTGCTGTAGAGAAGAGATTTTATTTGCAGCAAGATTGGGAATTGGAAAGTCTAGTTAGAAAGCCATTGCATCTCCCATTCAAGTAGGAGAAAATTATGTCTTGGGTAGTGGTAGAGGTGGTGAGAAATGTTCTAATTCTCTATACATTTTATTGATTTTTTTAAAAGATTTTATTTATTTATTTGACAGAGAGAGACACACAGCAAGAGAGGGAACACAAGCACGGGGAGTGGGAGAGGGAGAAGCAGGCTTCCCGCAGAGCAGGGAGCCCGATGCAGGGATTGATCCCAGGACCCTGGGATCATGACCTGAGCCGAAGGCAGATGCTTAACGACTGAGGCACCCAGTCACCCCTCTATACATTTTAAAGGTAGAGCCAACAGGATTTCCTAACAGATTGATGTGGGATGTGATGAAGGATGCAGTTGCTATTCCCTGAAAGAGCAATTGAGAGTAGAGCAGGTTGAGGGGTGGCTGAGGGCAGAGTCAGTTAAAACTACAAGGATTTTTTGGAGTGCCTGGGTGGCTCAGTTGTTTAAGCGTCTGCCTTTGGCTCAGGTCATGATCTCGGGGTCCTGAGATCGAGTCCCGCATCAGGCCCTCTGCTCAGTGGCAAGTCTCCTTCTCCCTCTCCCTCTGACCCTCCCCCTGCTCATGCTTTCTCTCTCTCTCTCTCTCTCATAAATAAATATCTTAAAAAAAAAAACTACAAGGATTTTCTTTGCCCAAAGCCCTCAAATCATATACTTATCTACTCATATGATTTATTGTGATGCTTATCTTTGGCTTCAGGAATTTCATATTTTATCCAGTGTTTTGAATAATTTGCCTAGGGCCAATTGGTTGAAACACTAGATGCTTTTCCATATATCAGTTGTGGTTTTCTTTCTTTCTCATTCTTCAGTTGAAACAGCATGAAACTTCTTTGTGTCACATCTTTGCAGTTGTCCTTTGTCCCATCCAGTTGACCATCATTCTGGTTCTGCAGCTTGGGTTGTCTGACGTTTTTATTTGGTTAATTGAACCAGTTGCATATTCAGAGTATCAAATCCTCAGGGGATTTGGTGCTTGCCAGCAGTAGGTGCAGTTGAATGGTTTGAACATTCTAAAGCAGAAAGATTACAAAAATATGAAAGAAATAATGTGAAACTCAGGAAAAATGGAGTGGAAATCATTAGTAGCTTAGCTGTACCTATTTTGAGTGAGAGGAAATTTTGTTTTAGATAAAGTTTATTTTATGGTGTTAGGAGCTGGCCAACTGAATTCCGTTGGTTTGCACTGCTTCTGCTTTTTATCCTGATGGCATCTTTGGTTTTATCAAGGAGTTGGATTTCCTCCTTATTTCTAAAGAGAAATGTTTGCAACAGATAGAGCTCTTACTGTGAGACATTCCCAGGTTATGAAAATCTATTATATTCCAAATAGCATTATTAATATTTAAAGCTAGAAGGTTAAAGAGAGCATCTAATCCTACCACCTCATTTTAGAGGTGAGAAAATTGAAACTCATAAAAAATTCAGTGACTTGCTTAAAAAGCACTGGAACTTTTGTTGTCTTCATGATTAGCTATATTTCTTTTATTTTCAAAAATTCACTCACTGCAATATAATTCACTTACCATAAAATTTACCTTTTAAAGTGTACAATTCAGTTTTTACTATATCCATAAAGCTATACAACCATCACCACTAATTCTATAACATTTTCATCACCCTCAAAAGAAACGTTGTACGCATTAGCAGTCATTCCCCATTCCACCTCTCTTCAGCCCTTGATCTACCCTCTGTCTCTGTGGATTTGCCTATTCTGAACATTTCACGTAAATAGAATCATACAATATGTGGTCTTTTATGTTTGGCTTCTTTCACTTAGCATATTTTCAGGGTTCATCCATGTTGTAGCATATATGAGTGCTTCATTCCTTTTTATGGCCAACTAATATTCCATTATACGGATTTACTACATTTAAAACAAATCTGTTCATCAGTTAATAGACATTTGGGTTTTTTCCACTTTGGGAAAATATGGCTTGATTAGCTATTTTTTAAGATTATATATTATCTGGTTAGTGAAAGAAATATAGTAGCACATGTACTAGTAGACACACACATATGCATATATGTGTTTCTTGATTCTCTTGGAAGTAGGGGAAAAATAATATACTATCCTCTATGAGTAGTAAGTTCAAAATTATTTATTTTAAAGTAAGGTTAACCACCTTATTTCCCATCCCCATAACCTTTTTTTTAGGAATTTCAAATTAGGAAAATATCAAAGAAATATTTTAGCTATCTTCAGTGGTTTAAGGTGATTCAGGAAATGCTGAAATACAGAGGTTGAGTTAATTTGCATTTCATAGGGTGGTTTGATGGATGCGTGCAACATATTTTAAGTCTCAGCAAAAAAATAAAGGGTTAACTAAGTCAGCAAGTTTTGATTTTTTTTTGTTGTTTAAAACAAATATTTTGTAATGGTGGTTTCATGTTATAAAATGTATAAAGTCACAGTTTAGTCAAGTATAAAAAACTGCATGTCAGTCAATATATTACTTTTTTGTATTTCAAATAGTTTCCATAATTTTTCCTGAAATCCAAAATGTAAAGAGTGTGGTTTTTTTAGTCTCTTATTTTTTTTAGAACCTCTACACCCAACGTGAGGCTCCAACCCATGACCCCGAGACCAAGAGTCACAGGCTCTTCTGAGTGAGCCAGCCAGGTGCCCCCAAAATTTAAAGAATGTTTAATTCACACACATCAATCCTTTAATTACTGCCACTGCTCCCTATATGGTTTTCATTTCTGTTTCCTTCTTATAATTAGGAGTCCCAGTCTGGATATCATGTTCCATTCTGAACCTAACCAACATAGTATCACCAGTGGTACATCTTATCCCTTCATCCCTAGCTTTTAAAGAGATGATACTCCATTGCTACTGTGGATGTGCCACTTTATTCATCAAGTGTTTATTGTAGATTGAAGTGCAGCCTAGTATAAGACCCAAGCTTTGAGTAAGCAGGTCTTTATGGAAGCAAAACAGAAAAAAAGGCCTTAGACTGAACAGTCAACAAAAGAACGCCATCTTGGGTAACAGGACTTCTGGCCTTACTAATCATTTTTATTTTATTCAGATAACATTTGTTGGATTCTCTATGTGCCAGAGCTGTGGCAGAGCTGTTCATAAAAATGAGTGAAAGTTTAGCCCCTACCCTTGGAGAACTCACAATCCAACAAGGCAATGGGCACTTGATCTGTCAATAAACTACAAAGGTCTAATAGAGGCAAATGTGATATTGCTACATCATCAAGATACTCCAATTCTGCTGTCTTAATGGAGTATATATATGAAAAGAAGAATAAATAGAGAAGAGCACAGATTCTGTTTTCTCATTAGCTTGATCCTTATTCCAGAAAGGGACTAACATCTGGCATAGAAATTCATTTAGCCTCATTTCACACAAATTATGAGTACTTGGAGTGGGACCTTTTTTTGTATGACAATGAGTTCTAGCAATAACAAGATTTTTAAAGTAATTGAATAATTGTATTTATTTGTGAATCTTTGAGTCACAGCCTTTTATCTTCACGCTCATTGTTTCAGCTGAGCCAATACAAGCATGAGAATTTTCGAATAAACTTACATTTTTTGCCAAGTAGCAGACCAATGAAAAAGTTATTAAAAGTTGCTTTTCCCAACTGATTTTTCTTTTTTAAAAAGTGATAACATCTTACAGGTAGTATTTATTCTACTTGCTCAAAAAGGCAACAGTTTTATGTAACTTTCTTGTTAGAACCTGCCTCAGTCTTTGATAGCAGTCTTTTGTCAGACAATTCTCATTACACAATCACACCCCTTTGTTCCACTGTCCATTAGCTACCGACTGACCACACCAGAGAAGAGACAGGAAGCAATGCCTCCTGTTGAGCTCCATTTAACACTTCAAGATCTAATGAAAGATTCTGAACAAACACAAAAACACAACCAATTACATGGTTAAATCAGCAGTCACTTTGAGATAGGAATTGCATCATGGAAATAGTTAACTGAAAACCAGACAATTAAGACTTGTGTGGAGATGAAAGATAGAAACCTGTTCTGTAATTATGACTTCATATTAGTTTTATTATTTATATCTTCAACGTGTCTTTAAAATCATTTTGCTAATGAAAATTGGTACGCCTACTATGTAGTAGGCAAGTGACCTGAAGGGGAATTGATCCAGAGTTACAGCCCTCCTCCTAGGCTCACTTATGAACCAAGTGTGTAAATTGCTCTTTGCCACTATCCCGTATTCCCCACACCCACCCCTTGCAACATTAAAACTGCCAAACACCACCCAGGAACGGATTTCCTATTTCATCATTTAAAACCCATTATCTTGTCCCCTTACTATCTTGCCAAACTGGTTTCCCTCCACTTACATTTTTGAGACATGATGTGGCAAGATAACAAGTCTAGACTATATAAATAGACAGTGGGGTCTTCAAGTTGAAGCAGAGGACCAAAAGGCAGTGGTCCTCTTTGTTTGCTTTTCAGAGTACCGCCTAAATTTGTAATCCCAAGAGACCCTCTAACTCCAGAGCATTTCCTTGTGTTGTAAAGCGTGCCCGAGTAAGGGTATTAGACAGCAAGCCGTCCAGCCGCTGCAAGGGCAAAAGACCAGCGGTTTGGGGAAAGAAGGGTACAGCACATTCTGTTGAAGTTGGAGCCTTTGACTAACTTGCCAATTAGAAAATGGTTAACTTGGTAAAGATGAACTTAATCTCTATAGTGTGTTTACATGTCCAATGACGGATGGGATCTTGGAGTTGATATTTTGAGTGAACAAGCTAGGGACGGGGGTGGGGGGGGTGGGGGGGAAGTCCTCTCAGTTCGCCTCAGAGGATTTTGTTGGCTCTAACCAGAGTTGTGGAGATGGGAAAGTCTCCACCTATGCCCCCAATTATCTGTCCATCCAAACACTTAAGAATGTAATCTTTTTAAATGTCAGGCATTTGGCCACTGTTTTACAGGGTAAGATTTATCTAGAAATGACTGTCAAGACGAGCTTGGTGAGTAACCAGGGATAAAAGGTGATGTTATCTCGGAAAGTTGCCATTTAGTGACATGCCCTCATTACGTTATTTAGGTCATGTATCCCCGCTCTAGCATCCTCCTGAATATAGAGGATATTGAGTATGTGTCCTCAGAAAGCTGCTAGTGGTAATTGATAGTGACTTGGTAAAATGTAGACAGTGACTGCAGAGAGCTGAATGGGAAAAGTAGGCTGGTGACATAATGCTTGGGGTGAGTCCTGGGGCTGAAGGGACAGATCTCTGGGGGATGACTGACCCATTAGAGGAGTGACTGAAGACACCAATATGAATAGTGGTAAAATGGGGATGGACTTAAAAATTCCCACAGGACTGTTTTCCATTCTCATTTCCCTGTAAATCTTTCTGATAATAATACAGGGTTGAGGGGGAGGGACCGGGTGGGGGCGGCGGGGGGGGGGGGTTACCTGGATTTAATCCTTTCAAAGTTGCTCAAACCAGAATGACTGTTCCCAGTCAAAGCACCACTTAACTGCCTCTCAGATGATTCTAAGAAAAAGCCTCCTTGTAACAGCCTCAGGAACTGATTTCAAATCCCAGGCCTTTGTCTTTAATCTCTCTGCTCTTGGGGCTCTGGGTAGTGCCACATCTGGTGGTGGTTTGTGTGAAAGGAAATAATATATATAATAGTTTCCTGTTTGGTCATTTAAACCTATCCCTGTGCTGGACAGAATTTGACCCACTTCACTCAATAGCAAAGTGTCCTGTCGCTAAAGTGCCCATTGTTTGCCAACAGCCGGTCAGCCAAAGTGATAGTGCTTTACCACCAGCCCCAAAAGCTGCCCAGGCCCCCTATTCTGATCTTTATTGTTTTCATTTACACAAATAGTATTGTTAATAACTGAAACTGGAGGCTGGGACTTATTTCTTTGGAGCATATAATTACGTTTGACAAGAAACTCCCAAAGTCTAGTAAATATGGTCATTGTCCTCTTAATCCTTTTTGGAGCCAGATTTCATTTTATTCCTGAATTTTAAAAACCCTGAGCTTTATAAATTTATTGTACAATGACTGCTAACACAAACAAAAACCTGCTAATAATAAAATGAAACATACTTAATATTTTGAATTCTCTTTTTCTAATTTGGCTCTAGTTTTCTTGCCCTGACAGTTTTCTTACTTGACAGTTTTGCCCTGGAGGTTTTTCTCTTGTTTACTTGCAGAGGTGGCCAGTTTTTTTTCTCTCTGGGCATGTCAATTTGTGGTACTGAATGTCTGAGAGGACCAGGGAATTTGTGACATTATTTCTGTATATTAGAATCTCTTCACACAGCAAGCTCTTCAACTACAGAATAAGCACTGACCTTCCCTAAATTTATGCATATATTTGGGGGGTAAAATCTGTTCTGCAACCGTCATTTGCTTTTTACTCTAGTCTCTTAAGCTAATTTCAATTCTTCTTCCTTAGAGATGTTAGAAATGTATGGATACATCATTTTAGTTTGGACCTGCTGAAATGTTTATGATAAAACAGAGAGAAGTGTTTGTAGTAACACAGTATCAATGTGTAGGACAGGAATGAGCAAATTGTGACCTTGGGCCAAATGCAGCCAGCAGACTGTGTACAGAGGTTTTTACATTTTTAAAGGGTAGTGGGTTGGGGGAAAAACCAAAGCATATGGAACAGAGACTATATGTGTCCCACAAAGTTTAAATATTTACTACCTGGCCCTTAACAGAAAAGTTTGCTGATCTGTAGCTTGGGCTAGCATCATGTGCTCAAGTTTAAAGCCTTACATTTAGATAAGCAGCTGGTATCTCTTTGAACTTTAGGCTTGGGACTCTTACTGACTACTGCCTGCTGTACCAGGGTAAATTATACTCTATTTATTCTAGTGTACTATTTAGTTGACTAGATGTTGGTACTATTTATATATTCTAGTGATTTCCAATTCTGGCTGCATTTTAAAATCATCTGGAGAGCTTTAAAAATACTGTTGCCTAGATGCCTACACCAGAGATCCTGATTTCAGGATCTGAAGGAGAACCTGGGCATAGGTGTTTCTTACATTCTCTGCAGAGAGATTGATTCTAATGTTCAGGCAGGTCTGAGAACCACAGGCCTAAACCACTTAAAGGTCTGTTTGTGGATTAACAACTAGACCATATTGTTAGGCAGTTTTTATTCACATTGTTCATTAGAAATATAATAAAGATGCATTATACAAATTGCTCTTTAATTTCAAGACAGAAGTGTTGCTCAGGGAAATTTTAGCTGAGACAATTTTGAAATGTGAGGAGCATATGAAACAGATAATGCAGAGCCCAGAGAAATAGAATTTAAAAGATAGGAACTGAAAGGAACATGCTGGAAAAAAAGAAAAGAAAAGAAAAGAAAACACTCAGAATTTCAATACACAAATCACTGAGTAGATTTCTTGCTGTCTGGGTAAGGGTATCTATTTTCAAAAGTGCTATTAACATAAACAGAGCAGTAAATCTGGGGCACCATACTTTTTTTTTTTTAAGTTGTTAAGAAGAATTATATCAGTCTGCAGGTGTCACACGCAGTTACTCAGAATCAGAAAGAAGGCTGATCGGGGGTTAGAAGATCTCCATCTATCTATCTTTTTGCAACCAACCACGTCCAGGCTGTTTATTTAATACTTCCTCTTGCTAATGAAGATACGGGTTGGGGATGGGTCGGGCTTTCCCATCTCAGCAAAAGACTGCAAGATTTGAACGTGCCCTGGTGCTGGCTTCACTGACCACAGCAGGTACCCCAAGCAAGACTCTGAGCAGTAATAACAGGTAACAACAGAGTGTGCATCAGACCTCTAACACTTTTCCTTCCAGTTTATTTCCTTTTTCTCCATCATTTACCACTGTGTTCTTTTCCCTCTTCTTTTTACATTTTTCCAAACCAGCAAGTGTGGAGGCAAGACACATCAAAGCAGAGATGGGAAGTGAAAGAGCTCTCGTTCTGGACAGATTAGCAAGCAATGTGGCAAAACGAAAAAGCTCAATGCCTCAGAAATTCATTGGTAAGATTACGACCCTTTTTCCTGCTGTTGTTAGTAGATAGTTTAAATGAGATAACATAGGATACTTATATATTACACAGGTCCTTAATTTCTGTTAAAATAAGGTAATTGGTTTTCCATTGTACATTTTTATTCTTTGTGCTTCATTTTGATAAGTAAGGCAAATAGAATAAAATATTTTAAGTGAATAATCTTAACTCCTGAAGATGGGAGTATTTGATATCCAATTTCCTAAATGGAGTTGGTGTTAAAAATGCTGTTCCTTCCTCTTTATTCTGAATGACATATGTTGCATGAGAGAGTTTATGCAATTGACACCAGTAAAGATGTTTGAGATAGCATTTTTGTAACCTTTTGTAATTATATTTTACAAGTTGGTTTTGTAATCATGCCCCAACTTTTTTCGTGCTCTAAAACTTATTGCCATACTTTCTTGAATTTGAGGTTTGGCTTTGAGAGAAAGTTGGGAAAACATAGACTTAAATAACAAGGCTGGATTCAATCATTTGTCTTACTGGAGTTAATTTTTATGCCACTGGTTTTCACGTTGTCAAACAATGCAACAGAATGAGATGGCTAAGAAAGAATTCTGTTTTTTAAAGTGTTGGGGCTGGTGAACGACAGAGATGTTTTGTCCAACTCTCCCAGATGTTTACATAAATGTGACCATGATATTTAAAATAGATTTGTATTTGTGAAGGGGGCAGCTGAATTGAATGTATTAGTTTTGCTATAAATTGAAATTTGGTGATATTGAACAAAAATAGTTATCACACGAAAATAGACCTCCCTCAACACCAGTAGAATTTTAGAAACCTATCAATCTGTTTTTCCAAAGCTACTTGGTGCTATTGATGTCTTATTACAGTCCTTTTGTGCTTAATTCTTTTCAATAGCTTTTACAGATATTAAGTACCTGCCTGTTTTTTAAATCTGGTTAAATTTTATTCTGGTCTAGATAATTTTTGTACAGGCAGATATTTTATGTGAGTTATAGAGACATATTGAAAGAACTCATATATTTCAAAATTACCTAGGTTGGTTTTTATGCTTATTTAAGTGCTTATGCCTTATTTATTTTATTTTGATTACCTGGAAAATTTTTGTATCCTTTTAATCACATTAAGAATTGTGTCAGACTGGGGCGACTGGGTGGCTCAGTTGTTAAGCATCTGCCTTCAGCTCAGGTCATGATCCCAGGGTCCTGGGATCAAGCCCCACATCAGGCTCCCTGCTTAGCCAGGAGTCTGCTTCTCCCTCTCCCCACTCCCCTTGCTTGTGTTCCCTCTCTCACTGTGTCTCTCTCTGTCAAATAAACAAAATCTTAAAAAAAAAAAAAAGAATTGTGTCAAACTAAATAAAGTTGGTGCATTTCAGTTTAGAGAGACACACCCCTCCCACCCCCCACCCATTACCATCTTCCCTCTCCTTCTTGAGAAATGTCAGGGGGCCCGTAGTGACCTCCATGTGGGGCTTAGGAGCAATGGATCAAGTGGATCAATTGTGATTCCAAGACATGATCTTAAGACATTGCTCATATATCAGTTGATTTTCACTTCTGTGAAGAAGTTCTGACTGGAGTCAGAACAAAGGAAAGTAGAGGTTTTTATTCTTTGAGTGTAATTTACTTTGTAATTTGATTTGGGGAAAGTTAAGACTCTAGAAATGGCTGTACTTGATGTGGAGAGAGACATGGGGAGAAATGGGCAAGGAAAAAAATGTAAAGTGACTCAATTTCAATCCAATTATGGTCAAGGCGCTTTGGTCTAAGAAATAACATATGAGAGAAGATGCTTGGTCCTTGTAGCTGTCCTACACCTATAGTTGTTTTTTGTTTGTTTGTTTGTTTTAATTTATCCATTTATTTGACAGAGAGAGAGGGAGAGGGAGATGTGGGGCTCCATCCCAGGACCCTGAGATCATGACCTGAGCCAAAGGCAGACGCTTAACCAACTGAGCCACACAGGTGCCGCTGTCCTAACCTATAGTTGAGCTAAAACCCTACTTAATATAGTAAAAGTTGCTTTGGTATTTTCATGGGTTTAAAAAAACACATTTCCTGTGTCCAAGTCCATGCCATTCTGCTTGTTGCATCAGGGATCTGTTCCATTTGTTACCCTTGTAACCAAAGGATTTTTACTCCTTCATTTCCGGACTCAGAAGAGATGCTTATAGGTGCTGATTTCTCTTATCTTCTGAACCATCATGTGCTCTCTATTTGGAATCAGGAAACCCAGTCGAGTTAGCTCTTGATTTAAGCTGAGGTAGCAACTTCAGGGCTTCAGGGCCCTGAATAACTGGGGGAAATTTTGTTTGGTAAATTGTGGTATAGTGCAGTAGGAAGAACACTGGATTTGAAGCCAAATGACCCAGGTTCCGATTCTAGCTCAGTCATTTCTTAACCGTGTGTGTTTAGACAAATCACATAACCTTTCTGGGCCTCTGTTTACTCATCTGTGAAATGAGGAGACTGAATTGGTGATGAGGTGATCGGGAAGGTCCCTCCCAGCTCTTATCATTCTACGAGTCTGCAAGATGAATTAGCAAAGGCTGCAATTATGAATACCATTTTGTGTTTCTAAGCCCATATGTGTAGATTCAGGTTACTGTTTTCTCAAGGTTATACAGACAAGGTGTTTATGTTATGAACCATGTCATATATTTTAGGTTTTTTTTTTCAGGAAGGTGTGGTTAAATCTGAGAATCTATAAAACAGCTGCATCAACCCAACATTCATCTATTTTACTGAAGGCATTACTACTTGTTCATTTGCTCTTTCACCCATCCATTCATTCCTGTCAGGAAATGGGGACAGCACTCCTGTCATATCCATAATGTTCTTGTTCCTGAGCCCTGTTCTAATCTTCTAGCATTAGCTTATATCCTGAACCCTCCTTTTAGAGATCATTTTCAAATAAAGGAAACCCCTTGAGTCATTTAATGGAATCAACCTTTCTGATAGAAAACAGTAATATTGGGGAGAGAAAAGGAACATTTTGACACTGCAGTGTATGGGATGAAGTGCTGCAAAACATACGGGGCTAACGTTTTCCCTCCTCTTCTCTTCTGTCTCCTATATTTCCTCTCCATGGTGCTGTTTTCTGAAAAGATTCAGCTGCCAGGGAAATGGCAAAGGGTAAAGTGTGAAGGAAGAATGAGTCACTCCCTTTAATCCTTGCTGACAAGTTGCACAGCACTCAGACCAACCTTGGCTTCCCTGACCTCTTGAACTATGAGGGTAAAGGTGAAATTATACCATCAGGTCAGCCTGTTACTTTCCCAGCAGGCTAAAGAGAATTACCAGTAGGTATCATTTTTCACACATTAGAAATGAACCGAGGAAGAGGGACAGATTGGGTTAAGTCTAAGTGCGTTTAGAAACGCAAAAACATGCCTCTATGGAAGAGTAAGAGTAAAATTAAATTGCTTCCGTAGAAGAAAAATAAAATCATTTCTTTCCTAATTCTCCAAGAAATTTTGTTTCATTCTCTGTATTTAAGACATAAATTGACATGCATTCATTAGAAATCAGCATCTTTACATCATCAAAATAATTCTTTGTTTCTCTTTTCGAAGGACACAATGGCTCACTTTTATTTTTTATTTATTTTTTTAAATTTTATTTATTTATTTGACAGAGAGAGACACAGCAAGAGAGGGAACACAAGCAGGGGAGTGGGAGAGGGAGAAGCAGGCTTCCCACCGAGCAGGGAGCCCGATGCAGGGCTCGATCCTAGGACCCTGGGATCACGAACTGAGCTGAAGGCAGACGCTTAATGATTGAGCCACCCAGGCACCCCAGGATAGCTCACTTTTAGCACCTAACCCTTTTAAGAGTTCTCCTTTCTCTGCATCTTATTCTCCTGTTATAAACTTGTTTGACTAGACTTCTAACTAGGCCATCTTCAAATACTTGGCTCAAAATAGAGGCCAGATTTCTATCCTGGAGGGAGGAGGAAAATGATTACATTTCTGCATATTTCTTTTTGCTTTTCATTCCTTCTCCAAAAACAGATGTGTTATTCTGACCAAAGTGGTTACCATAGCATCTCCTTATTATTTTTAATTTTATGTATTATTTTATTAAAGGAAGTTTTCATGTTGAAAACAACATGAAAAAAGATCTCACTCACCCGTGGTAAACATGTTAGTGAGGTTTTGACACTTCAGCAAACACCATCGATTCTCCCTGTGAAGTAACTAATGAGAAATTGTCTGCTTTGGTTAACAGAGCGACAGGAAGCAGTTTGAATACCTGTTTCTAACAGCAAAAAGTATCTTCTCCCACCCCTTCCCAAGGGGCTGAAATCTATAATCCTATAAGTATTACAGAATCATAGCATTTTGAGAGCTTGAAGGGATATCAGGAACACCCAGCAAAGTTCTTTCCCCAGGGAAGGAGGGAGGATTGGAGAGATGGAGAGATGCAGCTAGTGGGTGATGGAGCAGGGCCAGGACCGAGGCCTACAATGTGCTGCAGCCCAGGGCCTTCCTACCCTGGGAGGCCACCCAAAGCATAGTGTGTCATGTGTGCTAGACCGGGGCTCTGGACACGGAGGGGTATACTCGGTGAAAGCTGGTGGAAGAAAAAGCCCCTGAAGAAGGACAGTCATTCCCCGCCCGGGGTGTGTTTTCTTGAGAAAAGAAGTCTTCCCCTGGTGACTCCATCAGGACCGATGACATCCAAATAACACCTCTCACAGGGGACAAGTCTTCTGTAGCAACAAAAGATGGTCCCCAGCTCAGTTTTCCTCACCCCCCGCCCCACGGCTCTCTCTGTGTTTGCTCCCCTTCTTGCCTATTCTGTGGCTCCCTTCTACTTTCCTCCTCCTGGAAGAAATGTTAGTCACTTTAGTCTCATTTAGCTTGAGATCAGAGCCATTACCTCACAGATATTCCATTTACTCTCCTTGCCTGGCTCCCCTCCTTTTTTTGGGTATGTGTTTGCAGTAAGAGTAAGCAGTAATAGACATGGGATATGGTATGAAGGTAGCCAGCAA